GACTAACATAACATAATAAAATTTAAATAAATAAATAAATAAATCTTTAAAAAAGAAAAAAAGCCATCCAACAAAACAACTCCTCTCTATGTATGTATCAATTTTCAAGTCACACAGAGGATTTGCTAAAACAGAATATGCATTACACCATAAAGAAAACTACAATAGATTTCAAAGTATCAGTATCTTTGAAAAAAGCTACATTTTGTAGCAATATTATAATAAAATTAGAACTTGATAACAAAAGGATACCTAAAATTCAGATAGTTTGCAAACTAAGAAAATATTGATAAATAACCTAGATTTACAAGGCAGTCATAAAGGAAATAACACATTTAGAACTAAGTGGTAAAAATGTTGCATATCAAATTTTCTGAGATACAGTTAAAGCAATACTCAGAAAGAATTTTATAAAGGGGCGCCTGGGTAGCTCAGTCGGTTAAGCGAATGCCTTCGGCTCAGGTCATGATCTTGGGGTTCCGGGATTGAGTCCCCCATCAGGCTCCCTGCTCAGCGGGGAGTCTGCTTCTCCCTCTGCCCCTCCCCCCCTCATGCTCTCTCTCTGTCTCATTCTTTCTCTTTCAAATAAATAAATAAAATCTTTTAAAAAAAGAAAAAGAGAGAATTTTATAGCTTCAAATACATTTATTAGAACAAGAAAAGTTAAACATAAATGACCTAAAAATTCTCCAAAATTTTGAAAAAGCCAATTGAGCAAGCTTAAAGAAATAAGAAGGAAGGAAATCATAAAGATAAGAACAGAAAGCAATTTAATAGAGAACAAAAACTATGTAGTAAAAACTCACAAAACCAAAAGCTAGCTGCTTCTTAAAAAAAAATTTGTAAGATATTCAGATTTAGAACAAGACTGATCATGAATAAAGGGGAGGAAAAAAATGAAGAAACAAAATATGGAATGAAAAGGGGGGACTAGGTACAGATATAACAGAGATACAAAACATAATAAAGGGTGTAATGAACAAGTATATGCTAATAAACTTGAAAAATTTTGATGAGATAGGTAAACTCCTAGAAAAACTTAATCTAATGCAATTCGCAGAAGAAGAAATAAATTTTGAGTATACCGGTAAACATTGAAGAAATGAAAACAGTTGCTAATGCCATCTGATAAAAATAAATTTTTAAAGGCCCGCATGGTTTCACAGGTGAGTTACACCAAATATTCAAGGAACATACAACTCCTATTTTATGTGTTTTTTTTCCCAGAAAATAGAAAAAACATTAAAACTGTTCAGCTAATTTTATCAGGCTAGCATGATCTTGATTTCAAATTGAGGTATGGAAAATTCAAGGAAAGAAAACAATAGGCCCATCTCACTTTGAACATAGATGGAAAAAATAAATAATTATTTATGAACTGAATTCAACAGTATTAAAAATAATAATACACACTATAGAGAACAAACTGATGGTTACCAGAGGGGAGGTGGGGGGGGAGATGGGTGAAATAGGGGATGGGGATTAAGGAGGGCACTTGTGATGAGCACCAGGTGTTGTGTGGAAGTGTTAAATCACTATATTGTACACCTGAAACTAATATTCCACTGTATGTTAACTAACTGGAATTAAAATAAAAACTAGAGGGCACCTGGGTGGTTCAGTTGGTTAGGGGACTATCTTCGGCTCAGGTCATGATCCTGGAGTCCCAGGATCGAGTTCCACATTGGGCTCCCTGCTCAGGGGGGAGTCTGCTTCTCCATTTGACCCTCCCCGCTCTCATGCTCTCTCAAATAAATAAATAAAATCTTTAAAAATAAAAAAATAAAAACTAGGGAAAAATAATACATCGAGATGAAATGAGAAATCCTTAAATGCAAGGATGCTTCCAATATAATAAAATATATTACTATAATTCACCATAATTATAGACTAAAGAGGAAAACTCATCTGCTTTTCTCAATCAATAAATAATTTATAAA